GGCCATCATTCTACTTTACAAGAATGGTGGTAAAGATAGACCAATGAGTCTAAGATCAGTGGTAGGGAAACTGTTGGAGAAAATAATGAGAGAGAGACAAGATTTGATCAGAGATAGTCAGGCTTTGTCAGAGGGAGGTCATGCCTAACAAGTCTGGTGGAATTTTTCGAGGAGGTGATCAGGTGTGTAAGTGAGGTAAGGCAGTTGACGTAGTTTACATGGATTTCAGCAAGGCATTTGACAAGGTCCCACATGGGAAATTGACAATGAAGGTAAAGGCACTTGAGATCTAGTGTAACTTAGCAAGTTGGATCCATAATTGGCTTAGTGACAGGAGGCAGAGAGTGGCAGTAGAAGGCTATTTGTGTGACTGGAGCCTGGTGTGTAGTGGTGTACCACAGTGATCAGTGCTGGGTCCCTAATTGTTTGTGATATTCATAAATGATGTAGATTAGAACATGTGAATTTGTGTGTTGGGGGATCGGGGGTGAAGATAGCTAACTTTGTGGATGATACAAAGCTTGGCTGGATGGTTAACAGTAAGGAGGAAGGTGTTAATAACAGAAAGATATAAATGGATTGGTCAGATGGAATTTAACCCTGATAAATGTGAGGTGATGCACTTTAGAAGAAGGAACAAGCCAAGTAGTACTCAATGAATGGCAAGAGAATAGGAAGGTCAGAGGAACAGAGTAATCTTGGAAGGCTTGTCTACAGATCCCTGAATGTGGCAGCACGTGTTAATAGAATGGTTAAGAAAGCAGACAGGACACTTGCCTTTATCAGTCATAGTGTAGATTATAAGAGCAGGAGGGTCATGTTGGAGCTGTACAGAACTTTGTACTCCAGCTGTGGCCTAACCAATGTGAAATTCTTGTAACCATATTATAGGAAGGATGTGATTGCACGAGAGGGAGATTCAACAGGAAGTTTCCTGGTATGAAGCATTTCAACTATGAAGAGAGGCTGGATAAGCTCAGTAAAAAACGAAAGAACAGCAGACGCTGTAAACCAGGAAACAAAACAGAAATTTCTGGTAAAGCTCTGCGGGTCTGGCAGCATCTGTGAAGGAAGAAACAGAGTAAACGTTTCGGGTCCGGTGACCCTTCCTCAGAACTCAGGAGTTCTAGATGCACTAGATTATGAAGGGCATGGACAGCGTGAATAGAAAGCACTGGTACCCTTAGTCAAAAGCTCAGTAACAAGGTGGAATAAAGTGAAAATCAGGAGGTTTAAAGGGGGTTTGAAGGATATCTGTTTCACCTAGAGGGTGATACGAGTCTGGAATGACCTACATGGGAGAATAATTGAGGTGGGAAACCTGACAACTTTTAAAACAGTATTTGGGTGAGCACATGAAATGTCATAACATTCAAGGTTACACACGCAGTGTGGGGAAGTGGGACTAATGTAGGTCGTACTGTAATGTTGGCAGTACAGATGCGATGAACCAAAGGGCCACTTCTGTACGATTCCACGAATGTGTGTAAACTGATCAAAGGCAGAACCTGCTATCCACTGCCATCAGACAGTGCCACCTTCTGACGACAAGAAAGCGAAGCACCGATTCAACAAGCCCAGATCCAACAGTACAGTGCACTTTTACTTTAGTTCTTTAATTACTTTTCTCCCCTACAATTGTGGGTTTCTGCTTGGCCACACTTCCTCAGTTGCTGGCAGCCCTTTGTATCATTTGGCACGTGTACAGCTGGAGCATGCATGTTAGCGGGACATTTCTTTTGGACAGGATGGGGTCGCTGACTGGATTTTCATTAAGAGTGAAAACCATAATTGACTTCCAGCACTGTCCCCATTGCTCAATTTATTTTCAACCCTGGGTCACAAACATTAATCATATTGCTCCTAACGTCACCACTATGTGGGATCAATCAACACAGGATGAAACCTGTGATCTCTCTGTTATGTGCAGCTGAAATCCTGTGAATTAGCAGTGAGCATGAACAGATGAGTGAAACGCATCATCAGATATATAATATTTCCTTAAGTAAAAGCTAGGTGACGCTATTGCATAACATAATGACTTTTTTCTCGAAGAACTGAATGTGCTTGGCTCCAGTGATTTCAACACCATCCAGTGTCTATAAATTCTAACTGAACAAAAAAGCAATTCTGTAAGCAGGCCTTTTGAAACATCGTTTTATGGTAAATTGTTAGTCTAAATCTTCCATATATCTAGGGTCAGAATAATTTGCATAAACCTTAGGGTGTGAAGTGCCTTCTGCCTTGGCCCTTGTCTGATGCTCAGTTGGTGGTTATGTGTTGATGCAGAAATTAAATACCGCACGCTGTCGTGAATGCTGCTTTAAATCTATGTGCAAGGCAGTATCTTTCATTTACAGATACATTTTCCGGCAGAGCTGAAAGAGCAAACGTGTTTTCTTCAGCACAAGCAATGCACAGGATCGAATCTGCGGATCCACAGGCCAAAGGCCGACTTTAAAAATGATACAAATCGCACCCAATTGTTATATCCTACAGTAATATAGTGTGTAACTGGAGGCAATATTGGAATGAATTTAATGATCTTGCTGGATTCACAAAATGGGCAGTCAGCAGTTATCTTCCATTCATGTTCTAAGCACTGAAAATGCTAAAAATGACACTCCTCTCTCACTATTTTAAATTATTTTGAGTGCTTGTCATTAAGACACGTTATGCAAAGGATATACAACACCACCAGCCGCCTTCTGGAAGCATTTGTTTACTCGCATCCTTTCTTGGATTTGGGCCAAAGTAAACGGAACTTAAAGTAGTTGCATCGTGCATGTTTGACATCATAGCCTACTTGTGATGAGCTCTGACACTTGCTTATTCCTAAATATCATCATTAACTATTGCAACCTCTCATTTCTCTATAATGGTTGCAAGAGAAGACAGCCCATAACTAAGGAGAAAAATAGTAAAAGTCTCCTTAACACTTGAAAGGATGCGAGTAAACAAATGCTTTCAGGAGAAGGCTTGGTGTTGTTGTATATTCTGTACATAATGTGTCTTAATGACAAGCACGCAACATAATTTAAATTATTGAGAGAGGAGGGTTATTTTTAGCATTTTCAGTGTTTAGGACATGAATGGAAGCTAACTGTTGACTGCCCATTTTGTGAATTCAGCGAGATCACTAAATTTCTTCCAATATTGCCTCCAATGACACACTGTATTGCTGTAGGATGTAACAATTGGTTGCCATCTTGTATCACTTTTTTATTAGATAGCCTTGGCCTATGGATCCTAGCATTTCAAGAGGTTACTCTTGCAAAACTAAGGCTAGAAGCCATAGAGATTGCTTGAGTTGGCAAAATAAGATTGACCTGATTTGTGTTTTGATAGGGCAGGTAATGAAAGTGTTGGTCTGTCAATGAGTTACTTGCAAGGGGAGAGGGAGGGAAAAGATTGATTGACTTATTGTGTACCGAAATACAGAGAAAAGCTCTGTTTTCGAGTGGTTTTTCAAGTGCTGAAGAAAACACGTTTGCTCTTTTAGCTCTGCGGGAAAGTGTATCTGTAAATGAAAGATACTGCCTTGCACATAGATTTAAAGCAGCATCCACTACGGTGTGCGGTATTTAACTTCTGCAGATCACTTCCAGTTCTGCAGTTTCGAGGCAGATCACAGCAAGCAAAGGATGTACAGATCAAAAAGACTTGGAGGCATACAGGTTACATTGTTTGAGGCTAGAGTCCATTCAACAGTGTGATAATAGCTAGAAAGAAGCTGTTCCTGGACCTGCATGTGCGTGTGTTCAGGCTTCTGTATCTTCTGCCTGACGGAAGAGGTTTGTAGGAGGTCATTACCAGGATGCAATGGGTCTTTGATGTTGGTCACATTTCCACGGCAGCGAGCTGTTTAAATGGAGTCCGTGGATGGAAGCTTGGCTTCCGTGATGGTCTGCGCTGTGCACACCATCTTCTGTAGTTTCTTACGGTCCTGGGCAGAGTAGTTACCATACCAGGCCGTTATGTACCCGGACAGTATTCTTTCAATGATGCATCTGTAGAAGGTGGTGAGGGACCTTATGGATATGCCAAATTTCCTGAGCTGCCTGAGGAAGAAGAGGCGTTGTTGTGCCTTCTTGACTGTCGCATCTACGTGGGAATTCCAGGACAGATCGTCGGTTATTGTCACTCCGAGGAACTTGATGTGTTTCACTTTCTCAACCTCAGTTCTGTTGATGTAGATGGGGGGATGTTCTCCTTTCTTTCTGAAGTCAATGATCAGTTCATTAGTTTTGCTGATTTTGAGAGACGGATTATTTTCATTGCACCATGTCACCAAGCTCTCTATCTCCCTTCTGTATTTTGTCATTGTTAGACATTCGTCCCACTAGGGTGGTGTTGTCAGCGAGCTTGTAGATGGTGTTCATTCAGATTTTGGCAACACAGGTGTATGGGGAGTACAGTAGGGGGCTGAGGACACATCCTTGGGGGGCTCCAGTGTTGAGTGTTACTGTGGAGGAGGTGCAGTTACCTATCCTCACTGATTGCAGCCTATGGGTCATATGGAGATTTGGTTGAAGAATTGTCATACTTGTGGAAACAAGGAGTAATGCTTTTATGTCAAAGAAATCTCAGCGGGGATATCGCTCATGTTTTAATTCATCATGGAGTAAATTAAACAGAATATGATGCAATATTTTAAAGGTCAATTTAGGATGATCATGTTTTGAAATACCATCGAGTTGTCTGTGGTTCATATGTTGTACTACTACAGAAAGTGATGTGTGTAGTCACTGAGCTGTCAGATTGTTTCATACCCGAGGATGATTAAGTGACAGCAATAGCATATGTAATCTCGTACCTGCAATCCATTGAAATGCCATGTAGCCAGTCCTGATATTAAGCAGAATAATGTGAAGTTACCCTACCCAGTATTCATACTGTACAACCTGGAGACTGAGAAGTATTTTGTGTGTAATGTGGAAACTAATGTGTTATTATGTTGAATCCAAACCAGTTTTAAGTCTATGCATATTTCATTACAGGTGATGGAGGAAATGATGTCAGTATGATCCAGGCTGCTGATTGTGGAGTAGGGATTGAAGGCAAGGTAAGGGTATTGGAATTTGTAAACTTACCAGTATGTTTAGTTTTCATAGATTTAAGCTATTCTGTTGATGTTTTACAGCAATTACACTAGCTGAACCAACTCAAATTAACCAACTTGTAATGTTCAGATGTGAATGAGGTACAACTCATGAGCTAGATTCATGTGAGCATTTATTCAGATGTACAGGATATTTAGATAGGTGATATGGATCTATGTCATTTACAGTTCTGAATTGAGCCAGGGTCCACACTGCATGATTTCTGACAATGTTTCTGCAGCACTTTATATCAAATTATGACTTATTTTATGTACATAATGCATTATATAATTAGAAAATTGTGCAATAAATTATGGGACACACCAAATATTTTAAGAGATTTGAACTTGCAAAGTTGCTATAAGAAAAGCAAGTGATTTTAAATAATCTCATAGTCAAAGAATAGTAAAATCGAACATGGAGTTGCTTCATTAAAACTCTTTTTCATTTCTACTAGTGGTGTCTGCTTTCAGTGTCGCAGGTCTTGTGTAGCTGACTGATTCTCAGCTTTAGTGAATCCCAGCAAATTCACCTTTGTGCTGCAGCCAGTATTACAGGGAGCCAACATCAGTATTGCAGGAATGAGCACAATATTATGTACATCCTGAGAGCAGCTCACCATTGTAATTTAGGTAACACCAGAAAATTAAACTGATTCTAGGCTTTCCATGATGAGGGAATGAGAAAGCTGAA